ACGACTACTACTTCTACTACACCGACGACTACTACTACGGCTACTACTACCACCACTACTACGACTACTATTACTTCTACGACTACTTCTACTACTACTACTACTACTACTACTACTACTACTACTACTACTACTACTACTACGATTACTAGTGCTGCTACCACTACTACTACTACTACTACTACTACTACTACTACTACCACTACCACTACCACTACCACTACCACAACTACTACTACTACTACTACTACTACAACAACTACAACTACAACTACAACTACTACTACTACTACTACCACTACTACTACTACTACTACTACTACTACTACTACTACTACTACTACTACTACTACTACTACTACTACTACTACTACTACTACGACTGCTACTACTACTACTACTACTACTACTACCATTATTTTCCTTATCGTTCTCGTTCTCATTGTCCTTAACACTATTATTACTTCAACTACCGTTGTCAGTCCAAGACATCCGGCAGACATTTGAAACAGCGCAGACGCCATTTATCCAGACAGATGGTAGAAATCCCCTGGGCAAGTCCAAATTGGGAAACAACATGTCAGAGCACTTCGCCATCCGATAGCACATGTCCTCGAAACCAACAGCTCTACAATACCACCAGCCTAGGCCAGGCCCATCGTTTGCCCTGGACGGGTGCAAAGTCCAAACCCTCCCGGCCTTCTCCAGGAGTAGAAATCCTGATCGGACAAGAACGGGAAGCGCCGCTTTAGTCTAATGGGCGCATTGGGCGAAGAAGAAAAGGAAGGCGAGGGCAACGAGGAGTCGATGACGAGGACGATGTGGCGAACGTGAGGATAGCGAGGAGGAGCATGAGGACAACGAGGAGGAAGAGAAGCACAAGGACAAAGAGAACGAGGGCGAGTACGAGGAGGAATGCGGAGGGCGATGACGACGACGACGACGACGACAGAGGACAGTAAGAGGCAATTGGAGAAAGACGTTGCTCCTGGCGCCGGGCGGGGGTCTTGGGGCCTGTTGGAGGCTTCTTGGGGGCCCCTTGGGTCCTCTTGTGGGCTTCTGGGGTCTTCTTGGGCTGCCTGGGCGCGTCGTGGGGTTCTGTGGGACCTTTCTTGGGCCGTCTCGGCGCCATCTTGGGCCGTCTTGCGGCTTTCTTGGGCCGTTTGGGGGCCTCCTGGGGCGCTCCTGGGAGTCTCTTGGGGCCATCTTGGCCCTTCTCGGGCCGTCGTGGGGTTCTTGAGAGCTGTCTGGGTGGCTCCAAGAGCGCTTTTGGGGGTCTCTTGGGGTCTTCGTGGGGTTTGCCTTGGACGGGTGCAAAGTCCAAACCCTCCAAGAATAGAAAATCCGCCACCGTGCCCCTGGCACGAGGTGGAGTGCCCCAAGGCTCACAGCTGTGCTGCTGCTGCTGCAGCCAGGATTGTGCTCACAGCTGCGCTGCTGCTGCAGCCAACATTGTAGTTTCTCGAGGGCCTGGGCCACCGATTTCCCAGGCGCTCTTGGCGCTCCCGGGGTGTTCCGCATGACCTCCGTGACGGCTGCAACGTCCCAAACGACCCGCAGACTTTCGCGGAGCTCCCCACCGAGCGCCCTAGACGGTCAAGGAGCGCCTCGAGACGGCCCAAGATGGCCCCCAGACGGCTCGAGAGGCCTCCAAGACGCCCCGAGAGGCCTCCAAGAGGCCTCGCAGGAGGGCCCCATGAGGTAAGCATCATGTTTTTTCCATGGGTTTTTGGAGGTTCTTGGGGCTCCCGAGACGGCCCCAAGACGGCCCAAGAAGGCCCCCCAACACGCTCCCAAAAGCCTCCGAGGACGGCCCAAAAAGCCCCCCAAAACGGGTCACACAGGGGGCCCAGGCAGGGCCCCTCTCACAGACACTTCGAGCCCGCGGCCCGAAGATGTCCTCAGGAGGCGGAGGAGGGCGGAGGAGGGCAGAGGAGGAGGAGGAGGAGGAGGAGGAGGAGGAGGAGGAGGAGGAGGAGGAGGAGGAGGAAGAGAGGAGGAGGAGGCGGCGGCGGCGGGAGGGGGAGGAGGAGGAGGAGGGGGAGGAGGGCGATGAGAAGGAGGAGGAGGGGAGGGAAGAGGAGGAGGAGGAGGAGGAGGAGGAGAGGAGGAGGAAGAGGAAGAGGAGCAGGAGGAGGGAGGAGGAGGAGGAGGAGGAGGAGGAGGAGGAGAAGGAGGAGGAGGAGGAGGAGGAGAGAGGAGGAGGAGGAGGAGGAGGAGGAGGGAGGAGGAGGGAGAGGAGGAGGAGGAGAGGGCGGAGGAGGGCGAGGAGGGCGGAGGAGGGCGGAGGAGGGCGGAGGAGGAGGAGGAGGAGGCGGAGGAGGGAGGAGGAGGAGGAGGAGGAGAGGAGGAGGAAGAGGAGGAGAGGAGGAGGAAGAGGAGGAGGAGGAGGAGGAGGAGGAGGAGGAGGAGGAGGAGGGAGGAGGAGGAGGGAGAGGAGGAGGAGCGGGAGGAGGAGGGCGGAGGAGGGCGGAGGAGGGCGGAGGAGGGCGGAGGAGGGCGGAGGAGGCGGAGGAGGAGGAGGAGGAGGAGGAGGAGGAGGAGGAGGAGGAGGAGGAGGAGGAGGAGGAGGAGGAGGCTCCAAGAGGCCCCCAAGAGGTCCACAAGAGGCCCCAGGTGGCGCCCCAGAGGCCTCCTAGAGGCCTCCCAAGAGGGCCCCAGGAGGCAAACATCCCAACGAACAGCCCACATGCCTATGACCCACAACCCAGGCACGGTTTCGGGATGGACCGAAGGCCATTAGATACAATGGTCCACCGCCAGGTGTAGGCCTTGCCAAGGCTGGTGCTTTATAATTGCCATCCACCGAATTTCGCATTACCCCTGTCGTGCTTACAACACCTTTGGGCCCTCCCAGCCTGCTGCGGTCCGGTGGCCTGCAGCTCGGGCACTCCGTCTTGCCCACCAGCCCCTCTCGGGTGTGGCTTCTGCGAAGAGGAATCTGCGCTTGGTGCTGCATGGTAGCTACCACCGAGCCTCTCGAAGAGCGAAACTGCAACGATTGAGCGCTTCTAAGAATACCCCACGTACCCTGATGCCGCAAACCTGCAACGACGCATGCACCAGATCCCAGCGCTCCTTCTTATCGTCCTGGGGCGGCACACTGTGGGTTGACAAAGAGGTACACCAGACGACAGCAAATCAACACCTCGGTGCGGCTGGTTGGCCCGCTTCACGCCCGGGGGAAGCCCAGAAGGGCTGACTCGAGGGGCGGATCCGAGGGAACGACCCCTCTCTCCCCCTCTGTGCCCTGGCCCCCGACACGCCCCTTGGACCCTTTTACCAGGGACCACCGAAGATCGGACACGGCATCGCCCCAGGACTGGGCGAGACGGAGCGCGAGCGCTGCAGATTCGCCCTCCGAGCCTTGGGGGCTCCGCGGGGCTCCCGTGGAGAGCGAGGCCAGCGTGGGACGCGGCGCCTGCCGGACCGCCGCCCGCTCCCGGGGGCGCGCCCGGCGGGCTCCAGGGCCGCAGGCCGCCGCGAGGCAGGCCGCCGCCGGGCGTGCTGTCGCTGCCGCCGGCGCCCGCTGCGTGCGCCGGCATGCCGCTGGACCCGTCCGCTTCGGGAGGCGTCCTCGGCAGGGGGCCGGCGCTGCTGGCCCCCGCGGGCTCGGGCGCCTCGAAGCTCAGCGTCCGCGAGACCTGGCGCGGCTCTGCGGGTCTCGCGCCCAGCCCGTCCGGCGATACCGTGCGAGTGATCTCGTCCGCGCTGTCGTCGTCGTCACCCCTGGGCCCCGCACGTGAGCTCGTGCCGTGGCTGAGGCTTCGAGCCCCCCTCTGGAGCACCCACGCGGCCTCCAAGACGCCGTGCGGAGCGAGGATCTGCTTGTCCTCTGGGTGGCTGGGAGTCCAGGGACAGCCAAGAGGGCGCTTGGGGCCAGAAGGTTCCTCAGGGGAGGGAAACTGTCAGGAATCCCCAAGTGTCAGCCCGACCCCCTCCCCCCCCAAGGACCCCAAGAGGCCAGAAGGCTTCCCGTGTGCCTTCGGCCATCCCGAGCTCCTTCGGCCAGGAAGCACTGTGCTGGCACACCTCTTTTCCCATCTGCCACCCTTTTGTTTGGGCCGTCGCCAGACCAGCTGAAAGCCACTGGGTGCATCAGTGCCGCAACTGTGAAACTCGAATCGAACCCTTAACTGTTGGCGTGGGCATCCGCCATACTCGGAACGAGGTATGAAGCATACTGATACGGCTGGCTCATGCCGTGCCGACATGGGCGATGGTTTCTGACACTGCGTAGATCGTTCGATATCGAAGGATCTTGGCTGCCCGACAGCGGAGGTCGCTCACGAGGGGACTGGCTCAAACCGCCGCGGGCTCTGAGGGCCTGCCGTCGGCGTCGCCGGCGCCACGACTCTACGCGAACCGGCTGCACCCGCCTTGTGCACTTTCGGGCGCCCCGTGTCCTGCTCTGCTCCATGGCCCTGGAGCCCCGCGGGCCACTCTTGCGCTCTCGGCTGGCACGCGTCCTTTGAGGCCTCCCGGACGGGGTCGGAGCAGATGGGGTCGGAGGGTCGCACCGCATCGCCGATGCATCACCGCTGCATCGGCGACGTCGGCGATGCATCGGTCGGGCTCCACATCGAGCACCGCCGATGCATCGACGATGCGGCGGGATCATCCGACCCCATCTGCTCCGACCCCATCTGGGATGCCCGGATCGGCTACACGCAAGGGTCACCCTAGGCAATTAGTGGCCTTTGGTGCGCGGACTGAGGGGGGCGCACGGTGGCCAGATCCAAGCGCGCAGGCAGCCGCTATCGCATCGCGTTCAGCGATCTGGGGGACCCCGAGGAACCCGCACCAGAGGCCACTCCCGCGAAGGGTCACTCTGACGTACAGTCTGCCAGAGTCCTGCGGGGGCGGCGTTGCCGTGGCCGGCGAAGCGAGCCCCAGGGACGACAGCCCCGGCGGCCACCCGACGGCCCCGTCGACCGCGGGCGAGCGCTCGTCCTCCTGAGGCCTGTCCCCCGCGAGACCCGCGAGCACCTGCTGCAGGCCTGTCCCCCGGGGGCGCTCGTCCTCTCGAGACCCCAGGGATCGAGAGCCAAAGCCGCCTGAGGGGTCGGGTGTCGCATGTGGTCGAGAGGCTGTGCGGTGGGCACGCACGATTCGACATCCTGCCGCAAGAGGCTGGGCCTTGGGGCACATTCTTCTTCGATCTTTGAGGGTCCTCAGGTCTCCTACAGTCTCTGCGGGCCCTTGGGGGCCATCGTGGGACAAGACGCTTCCCTGGGACACCTGCTGGCACTGTGGCTTCTTATCTGGGGCACCTACTGTGTCCTGCATCTGCCACGAGAGCTCATAACACTTTCGCGACGATGGCCGGCACCACTGCTCGTATGGTTAGACCGCCTCCAACAAGCTGCAGTATGCAACAGGCACAGAGCCCTCCGAGATTCCGACCAACATGTTCACAAGAGGCCCTGAGAGGCCCTCAAGGAACACTTGCAAGGTTCATGGAAAGCCAGAAGCACTGAAGAACCATTGATCTTCCAACGTGCCGCTTCCCAAACTTCAGGTAGGCCTGGATCAGGTGGTCTCGAGGCAGCCCCAGAGACACCCCAAGAGCCCCCCAAGAGCCCCCCAAGGCTGCCCGAGAGGGCCCCCCTCCCCCCCCCCTTCAAAGAGCCCCCGAACGGCCCAACAATACCCCAAACCGGCCCAGGACTGCACCGTGACGATCCCAAGACCCACCCGGACGGCCCCAGGACGGACCTGCCGAGCCTCTTCGGCAGACGCCGGCAGGACCACCGCGCCCACGACGGCTGAACAGCGCTGCGGAGGCTCGCGGGGGCCCCGGACAACCAGACTTCCGCCGAGCCTGGAAGGCTGTACGATCGAACATGTCTACTCCCTGCAAGGATCCCTCACGTAGAGGAAGAACAAAAACGCTATGAACATAAACTTTTGGCGCTCCGCGCGGATTTCTTGAATCTGCGCTGGCTGGACCCCCCCCCCCTGGCGCGCGGAGCGCCAGGGGCGGCGCCAGAGGCGCCGCCAAGGGGCCTCAGCACGGATCCAAGAACTCCGCGCGGAGCGTCGATCACAGGATAATGCTTGTGGGGAAGAGCATCTTCCACTAACGCTCTGCATCGCAGAATCTTCCGCCCCCCCTCTCGCCGGAGCCGGGCCCCGTACTCCCTGCCCTCGACCATCCCCCCCTCCTCATCCTCTTACGGAATAGGGACCCCCCCCCGAGAGAAAGTCGCGCTGGGTCGACCACCCCCCCGCGCGCCGGGAAACGACTCGGAAACGACGGCGACGATGACGACGACGACGACGGCGACGAAGCCGACGACGACGACGCCGACGACGCCGACGACGACAACTACGACATACGACGAATGACTGACGGCAGTCTACCGACGACCAACGACCACGATGACGACGACGAGGACAGGACATAAAAGGCGGCGGGCGCGTCGGGCGAGGCCCTAACGGGCTTGTCGGGCGGGCGGGGCATGAAAGCGAGCAGGCGGGTTTTGAAGCATTCAAGGAGCGGGACCCTAACGGACGGGCGGTTTAGACGTTACAACGGGCGGGCGGGTTTTCAAGTATTCGAGCGGGCGGTACTCTGACGGGCGGGTCGGGCTGGCGGGATCCTCACGGGCTGGTCGGGACATTTACAGCGGGCGGGCGGGATGCTAAATGTAAACCTCGCTCGTTGATAGGAGAAGGGTCGTCGTCGTCGTCGTCGTCGTCGTCGTCGTAGATGTAGACATATTCGTCGTCGTCATCGTCGTCATCAGCCGTTGTGGTCGCGGTCGTCGTCGTCGTCGTCGTCGTCGTCGTCAGCGTCGTTATTGTCGTCGTCGTCGTCGTCGTCGTCGTCGTCGTCGTCGTCGTCGTCGTCGTCGTCGTCGTCTGCGCGTCGTCGCTTGCTGGCGCGCAGGGGGTGGTCGACCTCCCTTCCCCCCCCCCGACTTCGAGGCGGGGAACTTCCACCGCCCCACCGCTGTGGGGTGGGGGAGGCTGGAGAAAGCCGCGAACTGTTGCCCGCAGAAGACTCTCTTTCTGAGGTGACCCTCGCAGTTCCCAACGATTTCGGTCTACCTTGTGGGGGGGCTTGCTGTACCTGGCAAAAGCCTGGGAGTGGTGGGACCTCGAGGCCACTGCCGCACTGTCTGGACCTGGCGAACCAAGAACGGTAATAACCTCATGCCATTTCCACGCCTTCTGGGCCTGTGAAGCTTAGAATGGTGCAGTCCCCGTGCTTTTGTCACACTCTCTGGACCTGGCAGTCCTGCAATCGTGGATCTAATATCTGTGCCACACTCGCTGGACCTAGGAGGCCGGGGAAAAGACCTGGTAAGCATGGATCAATGAAGATCCTGAAGCACCTTCCGCAGTTTTTTGGAGTGAGGGTACCAGCAATGGCGCGAATCCTGCGCCGCTTACCACAGTTTCTGGATCTACCATCGTCGAGCTGGCGCATATGGAACACATGACGCCAGAAAGCATTTCCAAGACTGGTGTAGGTGACCCCCCAAGGAACGATTATGAGGGGCTGCTCCTGGCCAGTGTTATGACTGCATGCTGAGCAACAGCGTGTTGAATTTGTTCCCCACATCCAAAGTGGGGTTCTGGTTTTCTCTAGACACCCCGCGCACGAACAAGAGACCACCCACACTCACACACACACGCACTCACACACCCACCCACTCACTCACCAACTCGCACAATCACACAGACCCATTCACTCACCCACTTACACACTCGTCATCATCACTCACTCACGCACTCACCCAATCACTCACCCACTTACCCACCCACTGACTCACTCACTCACTCTTTCACACTTTCATCATCATCATCATCATCATCATCATCATCATCATCATCATCATCATCATCATCGTCATCATCATCACCACCGTGATCATCAACATTATCATCATCACCACCTGCACTCACTCACTCATTCACTCACTAACTCACTCGTCTCAGGCGGGAGTTTCGTCTGTGAGTGAATTGCGAGGAAGTGTCAGGCGGGTGCCCCCTCCATATGGGGCCCGCAGCTCATGTTATTAATCCGAGCGGGCCATCGGAATCCTGCAACTGTCGTCACTTTTGGTCCCTTCAAACTTGAGTATGGTGGAAGCTTCATGCGGGAGCCTCGTGTGTGAGTACGTAGCGAGGGAGTCTCAGGCGGGAACCTCCTCCCAATGGGGCCCGCAACTCATGTTACTAATCCGAGCGGGTCATCGGAATCCTGCCACCGTCGTCACTGGCGGAAGTATGAGGCGGGAACCTCGTCTGTGAGTGGATTGCGAGGAAGTCTCACCCTCCCGATTGTTACTAATCCGAGCGGGTCATCGGAATCCTTAATTGACGTCACTTTTGGCCTTTTCAAGCTTGAGTATGGCGGAAATCTGATGCGGGAGCCTCGCCTGTGAGGGATTGCGAGGAGGTCTCGGGCGGGAGCCCCGCCCCCATCGGGCCAGCAACTCATGTTACCAATCCGGGCGGGCCATCGGGATCCTGTGTCTGTCGTCATTCTTGGGCTCTTCAAACTTGAACATGGAGGACGTCTCAGGCGGGAGCCCCGCCTGTGAGTGACTTGCGAGGAAATCTCAAGCGGGCCCCTCCTCCCCCATGAAGTCCGCAACTCATGTTATCAATCCGAGCGGGTCATCGGAATCCTGCAACTGTCGTCACTTTTGGCCCCTTCAAACTTGAACATGGCGGACGTCTCTGGCGGGAACCTTGTTTGTGAGTGAATTGCGAAGAAGTCTCAAGCGGGGCCCCCCTCCCCCATGGGGTCCGCAACTCATGTAATCAATCCGAGCGGGTCATCGGAATCCTGCAACTGTCATCACTTCTGGGCTCCTGAGGCCTGAGTATGGGGGAGTATCAGGCGGGGTTGTTCCAACGGCTGCGTGATGCGGCCATTCGTGAATGCGCCCGTGCTGGCCGAGGCGGCGACGGCGCCGAGGAAAACCGACACGCGCGCTCCTGCCAGGAGGAAGGAAAGGTGCACGAGGAGAACAGGCGGGGCGGAGATGAGAAGGGGGAGAAGGAGGGGAGGTGAAGGAGGAGGAATAAAAGGACGAAAAAGAGGAATTATTCACTGCGTGGGGATCCCCATATGTGCATCTCCTTGCTGGCGCTCCCTTGGTGGTGGGACTCGGTGGGGACGAATCTGGATTTAAGTGTGACTGAGCTGCCTCTCTCTCTGCTCTCTCTGCTCTCTCTGTCTCTCTCTCTCTCTCTGCCCTCTCTCTGTCTCTGCCTCTCTTTCCCTGCTCTCTCTCTCTCTCTCTGCCTCTCTCTCTGCCTCTGTCTCTCTGCCTCTCTCTCTCTCTCTGCCTCTCTCTCTGTGCCTCTCTCTCTCTGCCTCTATCTCTGCCTCTCTCTCTCTCTCTCTCTCTCTCTCTTCTCTCTATTCTCTCTCTGCTCTCTCCTCTCTCTCTCACTCTCCCTCTCTCTCTCTCTCGCTCTCTCTCTTCTCTTCTCTTCTCTTCTCTCTCTCTCTCTATCTCTCTCTCTCTCTCTTTCTCTCTCTCTATCTCTCTCTCTCTCTCTCTCTCTCTCTCTCTCTCTCTCTTCTCTCTCTCTCTCTTTCGCTCTCTCGCTCTCTCTTGCTCTCTCTCGCTCTCTGTCGCTCTCTCTCGCTCTCTCTCTCTCTCTCGCTCTCACTCGCTCTCTCTCGCTCTCTCTCGCTCTCCCTCGCTCTCTCCCGCTCTCTCTCTCTCTCTCTCTCTCTCTGCTCTCTCTCTCTCTCTCTCTCTCGTCTCTCGCTCTCTCTCTCTCTCTCTCTCTCTCTCTCTCTCTCTCTCTCTCTCTCTCTCTCTAGTCTCGGCTCGAGAATGCCTGGCATTCATAGCGTAGCCGCGACGCGCTGCCCCCCGCGCCCTTCAGCCTGGCGAGACTGGACTGTGGCTTTCCACCACAGGACAGAAGCGCGTCATCCCGATTCCTAGCAGTGCACCACAGCCATGGCACCCCATGCTACGCCAAGCTGCCGCCGCACTTCCATGCAACGGGTTGTCCGGGG